TGCAAAGCTTCACATGCACAGTTGGAAACCATCCCACCTAGTGGGTATATGGGAGCATGTGTGCATGGGGAATTTGAACAGTCTTCACTCTGTCTATCCAACATCTCCTCAGAATTACCGTTTTGAAATCCACACTGCAAGGGAAACTATTAGCCCTAACTATAGTGGCCTTTACATGGCCATGGTCCAGACCGCTCTGGCTGGAAGAGCCAGCTGAAAGTGGTCATGGCTCCCAGAAATGCATCCCTAAGTTTTCTTTATCCTCCCCCTCTATCCCTCCACTTGAATTTAGTGTCTCAGTTTTACTAGTTTATTTCTAAAATCTAAAGTTTGTACAGCTGGTTTAGAGATGGAGATCAGCCATAAAAAGAAAATACTGGCACAGTTGAGAGGGAAGTAGCCTTTAAGAGAACAGAGCTGCAAACAAACCATTAAGGGCAGACTCATGTTATTTTGCCTCACTGTGCCCTTGAAATCCTACAACCAGTTCTGCTAAATTCCCTAGACCCACAGCCAGCCCTAAAACAAGCGATACCCATTCTACGGCAGAAGGTGAGGAGAGGACGTGAATCTTGAGGGCTAGTCCTTCAAACCAAGCTTCTCCAGGACAGCTCATTGCTTGCTCCTTACCTTGCACCTACTTGATACTTGGCCAAAACACAGCATTTGCAGCTGAAGTCAATAGGAGCTGTGCTTTGAGCACATGAAACACTACATACCTTGAAAAACCTGTCTGAAAACAATGTGCATATTGAGGGCAAACAAGCACGAGGAAATACTTACCGTCTCTCTGATGAGCAGTGCAGTGAGGTCTTGGTCCTGCCCAGCAGCTCCTTGTTCTGGCACATTACTAGAGACAAGTTCATGTGAGCTCCGTCCAGGGAATGCTGGACCTGGCTGCTCATTGTCCATTGCTGCCTGCTGACCCCTCGTTTCTTCTGGTGGATGAGCTGGCTGAGGTGAAGCAGGACCTGGAATCCCATCTTGCTGTGGTTCAGGTCTGGGGAAGGCTGGCCCAGGAGCCTCCTCTCCATAAGCCCTCAGAGATCCTGGGTCTGCTTCAGGCTGGCCTTGCTGAGGAGCACAGCCATTTACTACAGCGTGCGGCTCGCTTTCCAATGGCTGGATGTATGGGTGATCCAATCTGCTGTTCTCTTGGATCACCTGCCCACCTGCAGGGGTTGCAGCAGCTGTTCCTCTGAGGTTTTCTAGAAGCTCTGGCTCTGAGTCCTCTCCTTGCCTGCCCTGGGCTTCCACCTTTTCCTCTGCTTGTGGTGGAAAGTCTGCTTTCTCCAGATTAATGATTCCCCTGTCAACAAGTGGCGGACTTGTCTTTATTACTGGAAAAAATCTTGGCCCAGGCTCCTGGTTGCTCCTAATTTCAAATGTGGGGGCATTAGGCTCCGAGGGTCCGGGCTGCTGCAAGGCAAGGTTCATATTCTCATCCCTGCTTGGTCCAGCAGGGTTCTCCACCATACGATTATACTGGTCTCTCTGGCACAGCAGAGTTGAGATCTCATCTTGCAGATATATGCTCCTCAAGGGCCCTACAGCACCTTTAGAGCCTCCTTCTCCTACAGCGTTTGCCCCCTGCCACTGAGCAGCAGGTCTGATGACATTAGGACGCAGAAGTTGCTGATGTTTTGGGGTCTGAAAAGAAGACAGACAAAAGTAAGTAGAGGGAACTCTTCTCTGCATGTCAGAGTCCTTGCTCCAGATGATCTTCAGCGTCCGATCAGATTTCTGATAGGAAACAGACGAAAAGTCCATTTAGCATGAGGCATAAAACTGCAATCTATATATCGTTATTTCATTGAATCCTGATCAGTTTTACCCCATCCCTTGCCCATTCCCAAGGGCTAATAGCAGAGAACATTTGGCAAACCAAGGATGCACAGGATTTGCGTGGAATACTTTCCTGAGCTTATTCCAAGCTCTACTCCACTCCTAGTAAAATACTCTCAGAAGTAGGAGCTAGCTGATAGCATATTTGCATCTCAACTCATCAGTTCATTTAAACAGGTAGCAGGAACCAAAGCTCAGACTGGTAATCTCTGGCCTTCTTCCTGCTTCTGGCAGGCTAAGACTTCTATATACAAATAGGTTTTGAAGAGCCTCTGCTACTTTCTTTTTTAAAGAAGAGAAAAAAGGCCAGCTTAGCAACCCATTTTCTCAATGCCTCTTGTTACTTTAATGGAAAGTTAAGTTATATTAAGAATACGTTTGAAATGTGACGTTAGATACTAGAAATCATCAGGGTAAGCTGAAGCACCTCACCCTCCTGGGTGACTGCCTGTGCAACTGCCTGTGCTGGTAGGCAAAAAAAAATGTGTCAAGTAGGCTGGCTTTATAAAGCTGCAACAATTCAAGTGTCTGCATCATCCCAACAAAAATCCAAATAGAATAGAGGAACATAAAGCATATGAGGTTAAACAAGGCTGGTTTGAAGACATGCATTTTACAAAACATCAAAAATGTATTTGTTTAAAATCTAAAGCTGCAGAGACTGCAAGAAGCTGAAAGAGGTCTCCTGTTATGTTAGCTGGCACTTCTCAAACTGTTCAGTAACTATCTCTGAAGTTCTAATTCTGGGGGAAATGTGAAATTTAAAGAATCAGATTTTCTTCTATGAGAAGTCAGACATGCTTAGGATACGGCTACAGGCCACCATGCCGTAAACCAGAATATGAACTAGCAGCATAACAGCTGCTCCATTACAAATGCCCACACGAAAGTGGTATGCAGGAGAAGACAACTACTTTCCAGCCTACTCCACCATACACCCAAAGAATGAGTGGTTAGACACCCACACAAGACTGCTCAGAATCAGCATTGATGACAAAAGTCAATAGTTGTCTGCTATTTTATTGGCAATAGCAGACAAGAGATGTTTACTACTACCAGCCAAGCAAGAGTCTCTAACTAGAGCAGCAGCCCAAGTAGACTACAGGTCCTCTTACAAACCATTTCACCCTTCCAGGTTAAGATACTTTTATGGAAGCTATGGCCTTCATTAGGCATAATTTTTAGTTTACCAATCCATCTTTCCCCTCTCATACCCAAAACATGACTGAACACTTAACACAGCAAAACGCCACCATTTCAACACTCATTCCAGACATCCCAAGTAAACTACTGTAACCACAGAGGACTGAGGAACACAGATATTTGTGCAAAAAATGGCTACAAAGGCAACAGATAAAGCAGCAAAGTGTACAAGAATGAAGCATCACCTCTGCCAAGATGACTACATCATCATCATCTTCCTCATGCCGTTGCTGGGCTGGCGTTTCCAGCAACAAAGGTAATTCTTCATCTGAGGAATCCGATATTGTGATAAGACCTTCATCTCTGCGGTTTATCCAGTCTGTAGTAAAGCAGGTAAAGTTACCTATTTGCTAAAGAGACACAGCTGAAGTCACAAGGCAAAAAAGCACCGAAGCATCTGAAAAAAGCTATCTTCGCATTGGCATTTCAGCAACAGGGAAGTGCTCAAAGGTCACTGGTTCCTCTGCAACTTGCGTTACAGGCACTCCTTTGTCCCTCAGCCCAGTGAGGGAAAGACCTGCACAAACTGTACCTCAAGAAACTACAACATGCGCATGAAACATTCACTAACTAATGCTGCACAGAGATTCTGCTGTGCCAGACTTTAGCAGGAGTCAAGCTACTGCAAAAACTATTCCAAGCAAGCCAGGTACAGAGCATCTCCTAATTTTTGCAGGGAAGTCATGAGCTTTCAGTGTCTCAAGGTCTATACATTTTATTAGCGCGCACAGTGTGCTCTAGAGGAGAGGCAAGGTCCCCAGTGCAATCTAGCCTCTTCTGAAAGGGTGTGGCCTTGCACAAATACCTTATGCAAGACAAGGATAGAGCCCCTGGCTGTGGGTGCAGCAGATATCCTGCTATTGAGATGACAACCTCGTCTCTCATGGCTGGTCAAGAGAGGAATAGGGACGCTAGCGAACAGAGCTTCTGGAACTCGGAGGAGAAGTTCCGGCCACAGACATAGGACTTCTGCGCTGAATAGACAGTGTACGCTCATGCTTTGTCTCTATGATTTGATATAGTGTTTTGGTTTGTATTTTAATAACTCTACAGTAAACCAACACACAACTGTATCACTCGATAGGATTAAGCACTCACAGCTTTGGAGTATTTGTTTAGCATCCTTCTCACATACAGAGAAAGCATCGTTCTGAATTCCACTCATGGAGGAATGAGTGCCAATGCATGCAGTCCTATTAGGACAGGAGTGCAAAGCCTGCCTCTTTCCTCCGAGGCCCTTAAGAGGTTGAAACATATGTTGAGGCCCTCCAATCAGCTGGAATATCTCTACACGGCTTTGGCATTTCCAATAAGTTACTAGTCTGTGTTAAGGCAGCCAAAAAAAAAAGCACAGAGCCAAGTATTTCAAGTGTCAGTATAAAAATAACAGACTTCACAGCTACCTACAGAAAATAAAGCGTAACAAAGCATATACGACACAGCAAAACAGACTGTTAGCACTTTCCTATTAAAAGATATTAAGTTGCAAGTGATGTTAATCCTACTGCTTGTTAACACAGTTTTGAGATAGTTTTGGAAATACGCACAGATCAGTACTCACCTTTCCCTCTGTGGCTACGGAAACTGTTTAAGTGAATTACCTCTTCATTTCCGCCTCTCTCTGCCATTTTAAACAGTTGCACCCAGAAGCATCAATGCCCAGGCATGGCAATCAGGCTAGCAAGAGGAACTAGAAGGCAAATAAAAGCAGAAGATAGCAATGCAAGTTTAGCAGCATCCTAATCAGGTTTTCCCAATAGTCAGTCACTACAGCATCATCGGGTTTCTCCTGGCTCTCCCAGTACACCCTCTCCGAGGCAATGTTTTTCCTAAAGAAGCTCTCAGTGCCTAGAAAGACTATTTCAGTTTCCTGTTCTGATAGTTAGGACAGCATGACTGAAGAGTACAAACAGGCCTAAAAAGCCTTCATGGAGAAAACATGCAGATGCTTACAGCTATGTAATCACAGGAAGGGAGGACACGCACCTTGACCAGTCAGGATTCAAACCCTCTACTTCGGTAGATCAGAACTCTTGTTTCCAAGAGGTCAAAAGCCTGATGCATCAGCTTACGTAGTGGTGTTTCTGCCACCATCTACTGGTGAGAGAAGCACAAGCCAGGTGCCCGAGCTGCTACAGGATGACCCTGAACAAGCCTGCATCTCAGACTCAGTGTCATTAACAACTAGCCCCTATTGCATGTAACATTATGAAGCAAGTCATGCCACACGTTAGTATGCAAGAAATGCTAATATTAACATCCAGGTGAACAGTTAGCAGCAAGACCTGCAGGCCTGACTACGGAGAAGTTGAACTGTAAAAATGAGTCACTCAAAATGGAGAGACTATTTATAAAAACTCTAAATTCCCTTGTGTGCTGGCCAAGCTGAGACAGCTTCAGAGGGGTCAAAGATGCTTTGCAGCTCCCTTCCAGCAAAATTCATCCTTTTGACGCTTCAGAAAGGGGCTGCAGCCCCCCACAGGGCACTATGTAAGGGCAGGTTACTGTTACTGCTTTGTTACAAGTCACATTTACAGAACACTTTCTTGCCATCATCTGCTATTTCAAAAATGAGTCTCCCCTGATTTATGAGACATTCTCTCTTCAATGAGGGTTTGGTTTAAATTCCAAGATATGCCACCTGCTCCTAAACGGAAAAGACAGCACAACAGGGATCAAGTTCCTTCACAGGACAGAGCATCTGGGACTAAAATTTTCTGCTACCACCTGTTCCCAGACAGGCACAACATGCTGGCTGGAGGCTCCAGAACAGGATTAGGAGATCAGAACCCATACAACAGGTTTCCATTTTATGCCCTGTCAGCCTATAGCTCCCAGTGCACACCGTCACAAAACGGTTGACTACATACACGAACTCTGAGCACAATTTGATCACTGGAACAAGGAAGGAGGTCTTTTTATAGAGAAGTATTTGTCTTTACTAGAGCACAGAGATTTGTATTATGAAATATTTACTGATGCATAAGTCAGAAGAAAGTGGCAAGTCTGCCATAAAATCCTGTTAGCTAGTCCACAAGAGCAGCACAAATTCCTCCTCAGTAATCCTGCCTAACCTCCTCTGCAGGGAACCGGATTTGCAGCTAGCAGAGTAAGATGGAAAAGTCAGTTAAAAAGTATAGTAGGTACACACACAACACGCACCAGGAACTAGTCATCACCACCATCTTCAAAAGATTTTAATACAAGATAAAAAGTAAGTATATGATCTAACATATACAAAAGCATTTGTTTTCCTGGAAGAGCCCAAACCAACACCGTACTTCATATAAAGCACACCCTGCATGGCAACACTGGTGACCTAGCCAGCTTCTAGGTAGGAAGCCATACCCCTCCCACAGAGCGAGGCCCAGTCCCTCAGCCTCTCACTGTAGGCACCAGGGGGAACGAGCAAGGAAGCAGCGTTTTCACATCTGCAGGGCAGGACATTTGCTGAACACATGTGAAGGGTGCCAGTAGCACGGCTCAGTGCCTGAAGCAGACTTCCCTTTACACTGTGGAACCTCCATCCTAGCGGTTTTCAAGGTTTGGCTAGAAAAAGCTGCAGCTCTCCTGGTCCTAGCACTGGCAGTAGTCCTGCTTTCAGTAGGAGGCTGGACTAGAGACCTTGAGAGGTCTCTTAAAACCACCATTTCTACAAATATGCCACTATTCCTACGTTCAAGCCCTGAAGCTTCAGGAGAACAGCCAGTTTCCAGTAAGCAGCCACAAGAACACCATGGAAATGTTGATGTTTTAGTATCAATATGTTACTCAGGGGCCACACTTCAAAAAGTTTTGGTCACTTGCACTAGGTTCTTCAGCTTCTGAATTCCCTTACAACCAAGGGAAAAAAGTCTGGATAGCACTTTACTTGCCAGAATGGTACAAAAGCACTGTTCTTACTGCAGACAGACACTGGAGTGGCAGCTCAGCAGCTGGATGATTATAAGCATGCTTAGTGAAAAACCCTGTCCTTTTTATATAGGTCATATCCATATTATTACAGTTCCATTTTCCCTGGTATTTGTGCATAGCTATCATGTAGTCCTGTAGAACTTTTCATCTATAGTCCTCCAAGCACTTCAGAAAAAAAATCAATATTATTCTTGCCATTTAGAAGATGGAGAGATGGGAGCGCAGAAAGGAACAACGCGGCCAAGGTCACTGAGTTGGCTAGAAGCAAAGCCAGGAATAGCACCCAGGCCTCAAGATCCAATCAAGTGTATCCATGCCAACCATTTCTGCTTTAAGGCAAGTTGGTCCCACAAAGCATTCCTTGCAACAATCAGCAGGCTCTGCATAGCTAGCAACTGCCTCATCTCGGCCACTTTCATTCAATCTCACAGTTGATGAAGGAACGGTTTGGCAGGCAAATGCCAATGCTCAACCTGTCAAATGGTGAAGGATCACTCCTGAGACTGGTTAGGGGGGAGCAAGCATGTATGTGAAAGCCACAAATTAGCCCTTGCACCATCAAACAATGTAGACAGCAGAAGCTAGACAGGTGTCTGCTTAAACTTACTCTGAGCAAAGCAAAGTGGTATGGACTTTAGCCCCTACGGGGACATGCAATGTGCAAGTAGACTTCAGCAGAGGCGGGGAAAATGAAGGGGCTCAACACTGAAAATGCTTAGCACACTCACCAGAAGTCTTTTGCCAAATTGATGCCAAACAGCTCACTTGATGCTTTGCCCAATGCCACCTGAAGAACTGCTTTTACATCCAAAAGCAATTGATAAGCCATAAAACTACTGTAAGGACAGCATTCTCCATTGGCAAATCTGGTTCATCTAGAAAGGAACTTGCACACTTCAACCTCGAACATCAAAAAAGGTACAAGAGATAACGTGAAGTGAAATTTAAGAAAGCAGACTGTCTACCCCCTTGTAGAAAGACAGACGTGTGCACATCACCAAAAGACTCACGGTGGTTTAAAGGCAGGAACGTAATAAATAGCATTCTAACTAATATACAGGCAAGGCAACATAAAAAATAAAAGCCAAACCTGGAAGGAATTGGCAACATACCACTTCTCTTTTAAAACACATTGCATAAAAAACAAAGCAGCCTATAAAACACTACTCTGAGAGGGTAAAAGCCAAGCTTCCACAGAGAGCTAGTAATTCATTTTGTCAATAGTCAATATGGAATTCACATTTAAACAAGTATCTATAAGCACAGGCCAGTTCCATCTAGTGGCATGAATTAAGAAGTTTATTCATGTTTATAACACTGGGCCACAAAGAATGTGCGGTAACAAGATCAAAGCTACCCTAGGGTCTTGCCCTACATAAACAGCATAATAAAAAGCAAGCAAAGCAGAAGGAAAGAAGTTATCCCACTCTCTTTACACCACCTCAGTTATGCTAGAACCTATTTATAGGTGAAAAATAAGGCTACCTATAACCAAATCCCAACACTACCATCACTTCCTTTGCAATACAGTCAAGTATAAGACACAAACATGAACTAGAAAGGTTTTTCTCCCTTTAAGAAAAGCAGATCTGACAGCATGCAGACACATGCTTGGCAAGCAGTTCTTTTCTTACTAACTCCAACCAACACTACAGCACACCAAATGGTATTTGGGACTTGATTCTCTATAGGGTAACAGGAGAAAACAAAATTCTTAGCATGACTTTGAAGCTAGCTGTTGACAGCACAATAAAGAATTCTGCTGAAGATGGGATTCCACTAAATTTTCCCTCTGTATTCCAGATTACTTCATATATTCATGACTCTGCACATCCAAGCTGTTTCACTGCACAGGCAATAAAATACTTTCTGTGGAAGGTCTTTCCTGCAGCAACCTGAAGAAAAAAAAGACATTAACAGAAAAGTTACCGGGCAGGGGAACGTAGACCATCAGGGACTTGCATGCAACTGTTCTCCGAACTTTCTAGATCTCAGACTGACAGTGCAAGTTGCATGTATTTTCCATTCAAGGATCTCACAAAAAAACCTGTATATCCTACAAAGTCACTGGCCCCAGTCACTGCTGTGGCTTGAAGAACCAGCTGCTAGTAGTTCAAGCAGATCTCAGTTGCACACATTGCTTACAAAAATTTCCAAAACACATTCAAAAATCCCTAAAGATCACATTACATATTTTAGTCTAACCTAAAGATAATAAGCCTCTGTACTGCGCGTATATTTAAAATCCTGGTATATGCAGGAGTTTCTTCATTGCAGTAATTGGAGCAGAACTCAAATGCCCTCCTTCTACCTTACATTTGTGTCAGAATGAATCTCTTTGGATGGCACTACAAATTAAAGGGACAGGCTAGGAGAGACTCCCCTCCTAGGAAATTTAATGCTTTTTTTTTTTCCTACTTATAACGTCTGAAGTCCTGATCTCCCAAGTACGCAAGATGGGACTAGACACCAAAGCAGTCTTATCCGGCTCTAGCTCAAGGCAGCAGGACTAAACAGAAAGCACTGCAAGAAAGGTAAGAGACTAAAATCCCAATCAAAAGGGGAAAAAAAAGCAACTTAAGAGATGTCAGTGACATCAAATCACTGTATGTTTTAGTCTCTCCCCCCCCATACAGCACCACCACCATTGCTCACCTACATTGCTTCAATCCCCACTTTCTGCCTGCAGGCAGCTAACTTGCCTTCTGGTAGCCTGAGAGCAAGGTGAATTTTTGGCTGGTTTCAAGGTGCTAAAATAAAGAGAAGCTACTTAAATAATGTATGGTTTGTGACAACCAGCAGTGTGAAAGGCAAAAACTCAGCTCTTAAAAACAGTGAAATAAACCAGCCTAACTGCCAGGCATTTCAGAGACATTTCAGAGGGTTCACAGTTTGCTAGGGGCCGCTCCATATAACAGCCACTAGCCAAAGCAGGAAGAGTTTAACAGCAGTTGATCACACTAAGCAGCAGCATCCCAGCTGAAAATTAGAAATCCCCTGATCATAAGCCTGCCAAGAAACGTTGCTGCACAAACAAGTCCTATTTGCTATGCACAAGGCAGTAACCGTCAGTGCATCACACCTTTCAAAATAAAGCCAGAGGTTAAGATGTGCAACTGCAACGTAGTTTCCATTGCGCAGGTTTGTACAAAGACCTACTTACAGCTTAAGCAAAAGGAGGAAATCACATCAAAATGAAAACACTGGTCCCAGCCCAAAGGCCTTGCCCCTGTCCTCCAAGAGATAGGAGTGTGTGGGCAGAGACTTGCAGGCAAGACCACCTGGCTTCTAGCAGCAGCTTGGTTTACTGAAAGGAGAACAGTACAGCTGGCTCCATTAAGTCTCACTTGGGTGCTCTTAAGACCACTGTGCTCATGTAGCTTAGTCGCCAATTTTCAGGCCTGTCACATTTTCTGAGGAGGAACATTACACAACATACCAGAAGATCATTTAATAACAGAATTGGCTTACAGCTTTTAAGCCACTTCCTAAGCATTTCACAACGCATTAGCAATCAGCTTAGGTTAACAAAGGATTTGAAAGACAGGCATGCGTGCCCTCTAAGGGGAGGGCAGGATTCTTGATCTGAAGAAAAGCAAGGAATAAATGCAGAAGCCAATAATCTTCCCCCAGCAAGAGAGTAGTAAAACAGTTCTGTAGCATAAAGCATGCTAGAGAATTGATTTCATTACTCCAAAAGAGAGACAACATATCACAAAACATTAACTAACCCATACTAACACTTGTAGGGTTAAGTATATCCAAATTGAAGGTTTACCTCCCTGTACGGGAAAGAACACTGCAGTACGCATTTTTCAGAAAGCTGTTAGGACAGCAGTGGCTACTTCCACAGCTACCCCAGCACCATAACTGGCTTCAGAAGTATTGCTCCAAGCAGGACGATTAAGATGGACAGGAAGGGCAGGGATCTTCCAGTTTCTCTGGCAGTAATCATAACTTTAGTCATCATGTGAAAGTCTTCTATTTCTCATCCTCTTTCACCCACGAATCAAAGTTGCACTGTGAAACATGCGTCAAAGCAAGCAATGCCCCTTCCTCCAAGACACGCTGTTGACGGAAGATCTTTTGATAACTGTGGAGTGCTTGGTTATTACGTCATCGACCGAAAGCCAACTATAAGCTCACTATCATGGGGCTGCGCTGATCCCGCTTCACTAAAAGCCTGCTTGTGGTTAGAACAAGGAAGAGCTGTTGCACTACAGAGATCTTCAGAACAAGGCTACGTTTTCGGTCACTCCTCAGTAAACAGTGCTACTAAGAACACAGTGCAAGACATTTTGATGGATTAACATGAAATACAAATGCAACAGCATAGGCGCTATATATATGGCATTGTTTGTCTAATGAAAGCTGGTTAGACAGGAGCAGTAAAAAGGGCAGACTTTTAGGGACGACTTGGGATTCCAACCACTAGCTATACTTTTCTATTTTGCAGATCAGCTTAGGACTTCCAGCAAATATTTTGACTACCTGTGTTTTCAGGAGACTTTCTAGTCAACTTGAAGCAAAGTTCTTCATTCCATTACGATGAGAGTATCACTTAATCATATTTCTTGGAAGTGTTCTACCTCCATGTTTGTTATATCTATTAATATTGTAAGTAGAAGAGGAACTTATTCTGTCCGGTTTTGTCTCAGCTAGCCACCTGGAGTGGCACTAGTTTTCCACTATTTGTGAGCTTTTCACTAAAAGATAAGATTGCTTAAGAACAGGTACATTTAATTTTCAAGTTGTGACTGTAGAAGTGGGCAGATCCAACTTCTAGAACTACTGCTAATTTAGCTTGAAACTGAAGAGTTTGATGCCTTCAAGCAACTTCCTAGCGACTGTCAGCAAGTTCAACTGCTAGGTGCTTCAGAGTCTTTCCATGACCCCCCATTCAGTTCTTTTGCTAAGTAACATGGGTTACTACTGTCCCATCCCTCTGACCGGCACGAGACTACTAGTTTTTGCATGCTAAATGCATGTTCAAGTCAAAAGGTGTGGGAACTTCAGGTCAGGCATTCCCCCCCACCCCCCACCCCCAATATCAAATTCAGTTCTGAGAAAGGAAGAGTTAAATTTAAGTCTGGCTGAAAAGAGAGTTAATGCCGTTGCCTTGAGCTACTTATTTTCAGAGCAAAGTGAAAATTCAAGGCTTTAAGAGGGGAGGAAGAGGAATAGGAGGAGCCACCTCTGCACTTGGCTCCTGTAAAGGGTGCTATTCTGCCTCCTTCAGATTTCTGGCTTGTACAAGACCATACAGTAGAATCCCCAAAATCCAAAACTTCCCTTCCCCCTCCCCTCAATCATTAGAAAAATAGGTGCCAGATTGACATTTCTTGTTAGAGGAATGGGTTCAGATACTGGAATCTCAGCACCTGACCATGGCAGTACATACACACACAAAGCCAAACTCTTCAGGCCCCAGAAACAGCTCACGGCTATCTCCTAAGACATCATTTTAAAAGGAACTGTTTTGCTCTGATTTTGTGGTATAAGGGTGGAGATGAACGGAAGAGCATGTGAAAACTTGTGATTTACTGCTTTGCCACTTCCAGTTTTACTTTTAGTTTTCTAGCCCTAAACTCACGTGTATTCCAACAGAAGGCACTAAGAGACTTCTTCCCTCTGAGGAGCACTATTAAGCCCACCAGCGTCTGAAAATGCAAGACTCCACGGACTATCAGGCACTACACCCCGGCAATGCTTTACCTACTATTAATTCAAACAGGCTTCTCTTCCCTATCGACCCAGAGGCCCCACAGAAAAGAACAAAAGAAATGACCTATTTGCTCCAGAACAGACTTGAGAGTGCTCCTCTTTATTACTTATACTTCATACCACTCTTCAGGAGCAAGGGACACAGTATTTCCTCTACAAGCTTAGTAGTTTTCCTTTTTTTATCCTTTTATTTTCAGGGAATCTTGAGTGCCACCTTTAAAAAGGTTTAACAGAACAAAGAAAAACTACTTGAAAGGTTGCATTTTGTTATTTAATAAGTTGGATACGTGTCTTCAGGAGCCTTGACGTTATCATCCTAGCACAGTTTTTCACTGGAGAAGATCAAAGGCAGGCGTTTAAGGCTGCTGGTTAGAGTAACCCTAACATGCTACAGCACTGACACTCAGAGGAGCAACTAGCAGCCCGGTCTGCTGTCAGCTCTGTTTGCAGAGGGCACCAAGAGCCAGAACAAGAGGAGACACAGGCTGCACAGCGAGCAAACTGCTATTAAAAACAGCAGCAAGTGACTAACTAGACCAAAGAGGGCTAGAAAGCACAAAGAGGCATTTTTATAGTTGCAGTAACAGCCAGAGGACTTTAAATCAGAGCGCTGGATGGCTTGTTATAGCATCCTAAGTGTTAAGCTGCTACCCAGCAGAGCAACTCTGGAAACAAAGATCTAAGCTGCACTTGGAAGGTATGATCCAGAAAAGCCACAGTGCACCAGGAGCAAAGCCGGAAGAGGGGCTAATTTTTGTTAATGTGACCAGAACATATCATGAGAAGTTTTGCTTCCAAAGATGGCTGAAGTCTGCAAAGAATACCTCACCTCCTTTCAAAAAGCTGCTGACAGTAAGTAGGAGAGCTTGACCTTGAGGTGGCAAAACAGGGGAAAAACTGCTTACTGCAGTAGCCCACCTAAAAAAAAGGAAGAAAAGTTTGTGTCAATCTGTACTGTACTTTTGCAAGCAAAATACTTGAGTTTGCCACCAACCATTCATCTGCAGCACGTACATGTCAGACATCCCAGAATTAGGGCCTTCCAGATAAGACTGACTTCACAGGTTACACATCCTACTTGTTACGCTGTACCCCTTTTTTTGAGCCATGTTTGAGCCAATCATCTGTGCTCATAATTTCAAAGGTCATCAGTGGTAGCTAGAAGCTGTGGCTTCATGTTAAAAGGTTCACTGCAATACCCACTTAAGATAGTCCATGTTCCCACAGCATGGCTTGTCAACTCCTCTCACACCGAGCTTTGCCAGGAATTGGTCCAGCTTTAAAAAGAAAAGCCCTGCAATTTTTTTTTTTTTTTGAGGATTTGGATCAGATACCTTCTCTCTTCACACATCAGCTATGGCATAACTGGGAGAATAGAAATAAGATGCTAAAATAAACTGCAAGCAGGGGGAAGATCTTACAGCTTACACTGTATAACCGCAGCCTCAGCATAATTAGCACTCAAACCATCCAAGCTCCTTGTCCAAGATCAGGTGCTGGCTTGGGAAGATGCTTTTACGCATTCAGCTGAGAGGCCCAGATACGTACAAGAGCTAGGCCAGAGCCACACTGAAGCAACAGGCCAAGTTCACTCTGCAGTGAAGAAAGTCAAACTGCCCTACGTGAAATACGGACAGAAACCACAGAAGGCACATGCAGTACCTGAGCAGTAAGTCCATGCTCAACACTATATTGGTTCTTGCTAGAAAGTATTTAAAAAGCTGCCTACTGTAGCTAACAAACACTGCACAAGGAGGACAACCTCCACCCGTTGGAGAAGTGGCAACTATGTCCTTACTGCCCGAGCACCACAGATGACCAGTTGTTACAAGATTTTCAAGCCAGCCAGAGACTGTTTTTTTATAAAAACAGGCTTCATTTAGTTTGCAGGCATGCTTTGGCCTTGTGGCCAACTGAACTTCAGCCTGGCAGCCAGGCTCTCAGAAGCAGAACAGAGGGCAGCCTTTCAGGCTCGTGACAGTCCTCCAGGCTGATTTCACCCATGCCATGTGGCAGTGGCCATTGCAGGGTTTAAGGAGAATTTGTTAAAATACCAGAAAACCAAAGGGTTTGTATCTGAAATAATTACACCGCTATATCAAAACTGAAACCAGCAGAATTAGATCATGGCCAGATTTAGAGATGCTCTACATTCAGCATTAACAAAGAGATTCAGAAAAGAATAAAGTTCACAAGGACAGAAAGATTTATCAGTTGGCCAGCCACAAAGCAGGGAAGGAAGCCCTGCACATTAACACCCCAGGTTCACAGACCTGCATATTTAGGAGACTGCACAGAACCTAACAATTTCAGCTCAAGGGAAACATTTTGCATATGCAAGACTGCAAGGACCACTATGGACCACAGCTAACAAGGTACGCAGGCTGCAATCAGACCATTCGCTTAAGGACGCAACTGTTTTTCAGGCTGCAAATTTGTGGGCCTCTCCTTTAGGCAGATTTTATTCAAATGTCTAACATGGTTTAAGCCTTTACATAGCAGAATATAAATTCTTCTGCTGGGTGTTGCAACAGCATAACATCAAACAGATTATTTAGCCATCTGGGATGGAGGGTCAGCAAAAGCAGCCACAAACTGCTAAACAAACAAAAAAAGCATTAAACTGACAAGCACTTTTCAGATGCAATATTCAAGCTAGAGGTGCGTTCTAGCCATCGCAAGCCGGTCTACGATAGTTATTGCTGATCCAAGGGCACCTCCCCATTTATACACAGTGAAGCCTGCTCCGCTACAATAGGATTCCAGTTTAACAGCACAGGGGACATGAACTATTTTTGCTAGCCAAGTTAACGCCAATGGATCTTGCCAGCCTGGTTCATCTGTAGCTGGAAATCCCGCTAGCAAGGGAGGTATAAAAGGCTCCATGCTGCCGGTTTCCTACAAAGGAAATATTCTCGTCCTGCCTTCCCAGGACACTGCTGCTGTCATCTTCCTCATACTGCGTTAAGAGTACGCTAAAGCAAGAGCGAGGAAAGAAGGAAAGTCTTCTAGGCAGCATCACTCACTACTCTGCTGCAGGCAGCTGTCAACATCACTGCCTACTTCACTCAGCTATCCCACTGTAACACGTTTGGCCAACAGTCACATTTTGTACTTGCCACTGGTACGTGGGAAAGCGCTCCTTTCACTAACAGTCTTGAAGTATCTCCAAGCAAAAGTGATCTGCAAAAAGCATCGGGAGAGGTTTCCCTTCCTCCTCTTTCAAATAGAAAAATGCATCAGTTCCTTGAGGCGGTATTTGGAAGCGTAAATCAGTCCCTAACTCTGATTTTGCAAGACTGCAAAAGGCAAAACATTGCATCTTGGTTTCTCCAATTGAGAAACAGCAGTAAGTGCCCACAGCTTGGTGAGAAGGTTTCAGAGACAAAATAAATTACTTTAGGCCATTTTCCATCCTCTTATTCCCCAAATAAAGATTTCTAGCTCGTACAGATTCTAATCACCTTATACTACACAGTAATATCACACGATGCCTCTACTGATCTTGCCCAAATGTTTATCCAAATAATACAAACTGTGGATTGGCCTCCTTACGGAGGCAAGTAGACTGTATGAGTATGTGCAACATAGCACTCGTCCTCCCTCAGGAAGCAACCAAAAACCCTTCAGGTCACCCAGATATCTACAAACACTCCTAGATTTACTCAGCTCATCAACTTTGTTCCTCATGGCAAGAGACAACAGCAAGCTTTAAGAGCTACCTTGCAGAACCGCCAAGCATCATCGATAGCAACGAAGGAGTCCGGCTCCCACAAAGCCGGCGAGGAAACCATGTTTAATTTAGATTTCCCCTGACCAAGCAATGTGATTTAAGGACTTTGAGTGAGCGACCAGACTGAGCAGTTGCAGTATCAGCTCTGCTGCCCTCTGTTAACCACCCTTCCCATGCTCACAGCCACCTCCAAGCTCTGCTCTTGGCAGAGGACTGACCCAGTATGCCAGCTGTCAGGCTAAGCTGCCTCGGTCAGAAACAGTAAGAGACAGCACCGTGACTCAGTGTAGCCACTTCCCTCCTCCCCTTGTTAAAATCTTTTCCACAGCCCCATACTTTCTCCGCTTATTCGGACACTGACAGTTCCCTGTACAGATGCAAGGAATGGACTGCAACAGCACAGGTAATTACAAGAAAGGTGCTATTCAATAGGAAAACGATTTCATAGCCCTTAAGAATTAAGCTTTCTTGAGGATCATTATGAATTTAAAACCACTGCAAGCTCTTAAGCACTGACCCAAAAGAAAAACACCACTCTTGAGATATTCCAAAATAAAATGAAATTAAATGAAATGAAATAAAATTGAAATTCTATAAAAGCAACACGAAGGCAGCAACAGCTGAGAACAAGATTATCTCAGCTCAATAAAACATTCCCTATTATCTCACATCTCAGTACTCTGGCAAGCATAGCTTAGTCAGGTCACCCAGAACGCTGCTAAGTGTCCGTTTCTTTTTCCTCCTCAGCCTGCCTTCCCCTCCATGATTTCCCAGAACTAAGGCCTCCATCACAGTAACCTGTTCAAAACAAAAAACACTGCACTTCTCAAAGCATGCTGATCAGCAACTTACTAGCTCCATTTCAAACACAGGAACTACCATGTCAATACAGATAAACTTATATCCTGAGCTACTACTAGAAAATAGTATCCACAATAAGTGGCATGCTTCACACCTTTCACTGAGCAGTACCGAAAGGAAAGGGAGGGGAAAAAAAAAGCACCTACACCACCAGGGATAGATCCCACTAAGGGTAATTGAAGTTACATGTAGCAGCTTGAAAAGCCCACCCATCTATCAAGGCACATAATACACAAGCCTATTATTTTAGTGAGTCTACAGACTTCTTAGAGCCTCTCCTTTAAATAGTTAAATTACTGAATTCAAACTTGGGCCTCTGTCCTTAAACAGAGACTTAAAATATCTCCAGACCAAATCCATGTGCAAAAAAAATAAGCTTCTGACTCGAAGAATTAGCAGCACAGCTCTGAGTGTCCTGAAAAGAATGCAGCCTGCGGCAAGCACTGACACCCATTGCCATGCTGTGTTGCTTGCGCTATTACACAGCGAACCGCTCACAACGACTTAAGAAGAAAATAAATAAGACATCCATTCCAAACTAATGAATGAGAGCTTCTTCCAGCCAGCACTAAGAACACCTAAAGGGCTTCACTTCTCACTCCCTCGGGTTTGTGCTACTTATGCTTGCTAATCAGCTCCTGGCCCCTGAGATACACTTCCTGTCTCTCTTTGGCTGCGCCTAACTCGCCGGAGTTGCACGCTCCACCTCTTTTTGCCACAGGACTTTCTAGCAATTTGTGTCCAATTTCAAAGCACGAGCCACACTGCTAACAACCATAGCAGTCAGAGGCAGTGCCAGTTACATGTCGATGGCAGCAACGCCCACTGCATTCCCAGGCAGACAAAGCATTGGCCTACCAAGGAATTGCAAGTTCTGAGGCAGCTTCTGAAACATAAACCTAGCACAGGCTGCCAGCACCCCACCGTAAACCAGGATATACCTCATCATCAGGGTAAAGCCTGCCCCAACCACTGTTCCAGGAACAGCTATTTGCACTCTGACTTATGCCGTTGTCCAAGAAAGATGCCTGCAGCCAGGCCAACAGGAAAACACTCTAGGAAGGAAAGGAAAGAGAGAGGAAGGCCTGCTACCAAAACACAGCGCTACAGCACAGGCTGAACATCACTACAGCTCTGCAGGAAGTGGGTCCGAATTTTTCCCAAGTTTCAGTATTCCAGTCACAAACTTCTGTCAAGATGATCGTTTATTAAAATCTAGTCTCACCGTGCAGACATCCTGCACATGAGTTCTATTAAGATGTCTAGAGTATCAAAAGGCCCAGTGCAAGGCTGTGAAACTTTGCACAGTGTTGGTGCTAGAGATGAAAAACTCAGATTAAAGCTGTAAATCATGCAGTTCTGTAACTAAAGCTGTCCCTGCAAGTCTACTAGTCCTAAAGAAATAAGGTCCCACTGTGCAGTTAGCACTGTACACTCCTATGGTATGGTACCTGGGAATCTGTACAGCAACGTACCAGAGAGCTTAAGATTTGCATCTTCAGAGCAACGGGACTCAGACACATCCCCCCTCACCTACCAAACAGGTCGCGGGGAGAAAAGCTCTTACTCCACTCTCAATCAGGTAGCACAAGGCAGGAGGAGGCCACTTTCTAAGCAAGTGTGTAAAGTCTAGTCTAGTCACCTGGCGGGGGACACCTGCTTTCCCTTCCAGTGCTACTGCTGGAAGCCTTCTGCAGTGGCTCCAAGGATGTATCTATCTAGATGGCAGAAATCATATGACAAAAAAATCATCATAAGAAAGATTAGAGAAAAGCAAGGAAACAATTGCCTACTCATAGGTTTTAGCATTAAGACTACCTGTCCCTTTAGCTACCAAGGCAGTTAGTCATTGCTTTTTGGCTTGCTGGCTGAAATAAAGAAAAAAAAAAAAATCAATCTGCTGTCTTGTATTAAAGGCAATAGGTTTAAAGAGAGACACAAGAAGAGCCCCTGTGAAAGGGGCATAAAAATTGAGTTACACTCCTACAGCACTCAGCATTACGCTTCAATAACAAAAATAAGTGTACAGCAGCAATAGTATTACAAATTAAAAAAAAAAAATCAGAGATTGCAAATCAGTGATTGAATCACAATATTTCATTTAAGGAATTGAACTTGGCTTGAAAAGCATTAAGAAAGATGACGAGAAATTTTGACTTTTTTTGTATGACAGCTGTTTCTGCTTAAGTATCTTTCAAAAAGTTTAATTAAGATATTAGAAGAAATTAAAAGATAATGCTTTATGTCTTCATGCAAGATGAAAAGAAAACTATTCAAGCCAGATGTAAGTACAAATGGCAGTTACCTGATCAACTGCCACACAGGGATTCAAATAGAGAGTTCAGAGTCGCAGAGCCAGCAGATCTGCGAGATGATTATTGTTTTAGGCTGATTTTTTCAATTCCAAATGAACAAGGACCACTACATTGATTAGCTCGCACTGATTTCTTCATAAGCATGCTAAAAGTTAGCTAAAACTCTTAAATCTCAGAGTGCTTCAGTGCTGCACGTTTCATGAAAATATGCAAACCTTCCTCCAGTCATTTGCTGGAACAAGTGTAATTCCAAAGGCAGAAACACAGATCAGAGATTTTTATTATATAAACGCTGTGTATATTAGCACTTCCCATGTTTGCTCTCTCACCACGCTGAGCTAGCGTTCAAATCAATAGAGAGAGAAACAGAGGAAGAGAGCGAAGGAGGAGTATCTCTTACACAGACAGATCCCTCAACTCTGAGGACAGCTGTGTTTTGGGTTTCTTTCTTGCAGTAGCTCCCACAGCAGATGCCTGAAATGTCAAGATGTCCAAATGGCACCAAGTGTTTCCGTAACAAGACATGAGGTCAGAGGAGAAGAGCAAGCTTATATCCATATTTTCTGATCAGCTCTAGAGCCCACTCATTTTTCCCTTTTTAAACAAAAATACACAGGGTAACATACATGAAAGGAGCGGATCGAGAGAGCATATGAACGCAAGCACAGGAAAACGTTACCTTGGTCCTTTCCGCTGTGGGGGCAAAGCTGCCGACACGAGCGTAGTAGGCAGCTGTTAATCAACAAGCCACACTCAGAGCAGGCCCCTGAGCAGGGACCGGAGCCCGCAGCCCCCAGTACAGGTACCTGGCCAGGAGGGGAGCCTCGGAGAGGGGCTGCAACCCACCCCCAGCCCCCTCACCCTGCTCGGGCTGACTGTCCAGCAGGACCAGGTCCCCCAACAGGGCAGGGAGAAGCCAGGGGAGGCAGGGGTGACACAAGGGACCCCAGGGCCTCATGGAGGTGGGGTAGGGGAGGGACAACACAAGGGACCCCAGGGCCTCACAGGGGCAGGAGAGGTGACACAAGAGTCCCCAGGGCCTTGCTGGCAGGGGGAACACAGAAGGGACCCCGGGTCCCCACAGGGGGGTGACACAAGAGACCCTAGGGCCTCATCAGCAGGGGGACAACACAGAAGGGACCTCAGGCCCCCAAGGGGGGGGGGGACAACACAAGGGTCTCCGGGGCCCCATGTGGGGGGGGGGGGTTACGGCT